AGGCAGTAGCGACTGAGAGACCCAGTACAGCCCGGCTGGGGACAGTAGAGACTGAGAGACCCAGTACAGCCCGGCTGGGGACAGTAGAGTCTGAGGCGGACTTCGAGAGACCCGGTACAGCCTGGCTGGGGACAGTAGAAACTGAGAGACCCGGTACGGCCCGGCTGGGGACAGTAAAGACTGAGAGATCCGGTACGGCCCGGTTAGGGACAGTAGAGACTAAGAGACCCTGTACGGCCCGGTCAGAGACAGTAGAGACTGAGAGACCTGATACAGCCCGTACAATACAAATGTGGACAATACAAACTTAGCATCAGCACTTATCCATTTGAGGAGTCTCTGAAGCGATAAAACTGACAGAGCAATAATGTCAGTTGTTTCAAACTGTACGTAGGTGTTGTGTAAGTTTTTACAAAAGCCCTCCCTGGCCTGCAGTGACCGCTGCGGACCTGCGGCAGTCTGGGATGCTCACGCTGGAGCACGTGGCCGTTACCTTGACGATGACTCACCCTCGCCGTGGCAACGTGGAGATCCTGCTAAACTGCCCCAGTGGGATGACCTCCCTGATTGGAGCCAGGCGCATCATGGACACGTGAGTCACACCTGGACGTGTGTCTGCACTTTCTTCACTCAGTCTCTACTGTCTCTACTGGGGACAGTAGAGACTGAGGTACAGTTTGAGAGACCCGGTACAGCCCGGCTGGGGACAGTAGAGACTGAGAGACCCGGTACGGCCCAGTCGGAGACAGTAATGTCTGAGAGACTCCTACAGTACAAGCACTGCTCGTGCTCTCCAGACGGACTGTGTGTTTTCTGGCCGATGGCCAGTCCACGATGCAGTGTGCTTGGTTTGGATTGGCTCTCTTGAGTGTGCCTTTTCCTCAGCGTAGCCTGTTCTGTCCACAGGGAGCCCACAGGATACGCTGACTGGACCTTCTCTACCGTGCGCTGCTGGGGCGAGAGGGCTGAGGGGCAGTACAGTCTACAGCTCACTGACTACAGTAAGTCAAAGTCTTGCTCTCCTGGTGAGGGTTTACTCTCCTGACAGAGGTTCTCCATCTGTGTCAGAGAGCTGCTCTCCTGGTGAGGGTTCACTCTCCTGACAGAGGTTCTCCATCTGTGTCAGAGAGCTGCTCTCCTGGTGAGGGTTCACTCTCCTGACAGAGGTTCTCCATCTGTGTCAGAGATCTGCTCTCCTGGTGAGGGTTCACTGTCATGACAGAGGTTCTCCATCTGTATCTGAGAGCTGCTCTCCTGGTGAGGGTTCACTGTCATGACAAAGAGGGTTCACATGAGGGTTCTTGTTAGAGAGAGGGTTCATGCTCATTCACTGCTATACTGAATGAAAACACTCAGTCATTTCTTGTTCTTCTGATGATGTACTGTAACTTAAGTGATATTGACCTTGCAGAGGGGTCACTTTTTTGGGAATAACTCATTAATATCTTGTGCACTTCCTTTGATATCTGATTACTGCCTAGTGATCAGTAATGCTGATTAGACATTGATCAATTCAGTCCAAGATGTCAATGAAAACCCCTGAGAATGTTACAGTCTTACAGTCTAATCCACATATATCGCACAGCCTGTACAGGGGCTGTCCTGTCTTGGTCTTTCTCCTTGATTGATCTTTCTGCTTTCAAAGTTAAAATCCCCGTTCTGCCGTTGTCTTTATTTCTCTCACGGAAGTGCGCCAGGCTGTCGGCACGAGCAGACGTGTTGCGCCATCTCGCCATCTGCTGCATTCTGGGAAGGCCAGAGCAGTCTCTCCTTGCGTCCTAAGACCTTTCCCCACCCCGAATCCACACCTGCTAGCGTACCGACAAGAAACCAGCATGATGACACTGTGAAGTGTTACAGAAACAAGGTTGTTTAAAGTACAGTAGCTTCCTGAAATCGTGCCCCTAAGATTGCGATGCATTCTGTGCTGGAGCTGTTATCTACAGCCTTGCTGAGTGTGATGACACCTCTCAGGGCAGTACGTCCTGTTCCAAGGAGTTTACAAGAAGGGGGCAAAGTGATAAGGTGCTGGGGAATTTTCCCCGTTCGTACCAGGATTAGTTCCGATTAGTGTCTTGCACTTCCTCGAGAGATTCAGGGAGTGCATTCGAAATATGTCTGGTCAGCTTTCTGCTGCAGAAAACGGCGGCCACCACTCACTGTACGGGTTTTCGTTGATATGACATGTACAGTGGCAGTCCGTACCCGGGTTTTCATTCGAAGAGCAGATTTTCATTCCTGCAAGCTGGGCTCTTGTACAGCATCCTCTTGGATGAGGAGTTTGTTTTTTATTTTCATTGCATTTGGACTTTTTTTATAATAATGGCTTATGTGTGCTAAGTGCCCGCAGCACAGGACAGTTCCCAATGTTTATGCTTTTGCTAATCACTGTAACAAAGTCCAGTTCCTACCGGACAGTGTGGATGCACAGGAGTGTTTACTGTTTTCCCACTTGTTGTCTATTTGTTAGCTGACGACTTGAAGCATGTTACTCGAATAATGAACCAGGGATGTTATTGTTTTCATTCTTGAGTGCCGTTTGGGTGTTTTTGATGGAATTTTTTTAGAATTCTGGAACCAGTTGAAGATGAAGAAGTGGGAATTTAATTGACATTTTACAACTTTCAGAGGAATGAATTTAGCTCGTGGGTATAGGAATTATTGTACTAGAACGGTCTCTCTTGTCCACTCATTTTGGAATACCTGAACTTGTGTAAACACACCTAATATATGAATGATCGAAGAGTTTTTATTTTTTTGCAATGGAAAAAGTCCAGAGATGTTGGAGTGGGTGTCCCATTCTCTGGGTCAGTTTCCCTCGCGATCTGTCCTTGCTATCCTCCAGGGCTCTGCTGTGTGGCACCGGACAGTCTGCCTGCTGCTTATCAACCTCGGTGTCTTTCTGTCTCTTACTCTCAGGGGACGGTGTGCTGTCCCCGGGCGTGCTGAACCGCTGGAGGCTGACTCTGTACGGCTCATCCATGTCCTTCGAGGCAGTGAAGGAGAGGCAGAGGTGAGGCAGACGCTCTGGGTCTCGGGTTGTGCCAGCGTCCTGCGAGTTCGCTGTGCTGGGTGTGAGTGTGTCTCGGTGAGACGGGGCCATGCAGTGGGGTGAGGCATGTCTGTTCAGTGCCTTTCACAGAGGAGGAGCGCTGTGATTGGCTGTACAGCAAGGGGAGGTGTGTCTCTCGGGGGAGGCGCTGTTGTGATTGGCACATAGCGAGGGTGGGTGTGGGTCATCTCCATACTCTGTAACAGTAGGGTCCAAAAGATCCACTAGTCACTGATATTGGGGATCTTCAGCACTGACCCCAGAGACTCCCTGTCCAGTGCATTTTGTAGATCCCCTGTTTCTGAATTTTGGTGACACCTGTAAAATTTTGATTCAATCAAAATAACTGGTCTGTTAGTACCAAGACTGTAGTCCAAAATGATCTCCAAAATGATTTGAAGTGTCTTCAAAACACTTTAACATATCAACTGCCTACAATGTGACCTTCAACCCCTGCTGGACTGGGGCTCTCCATTCTCTGGGCTCTGTAGTCTAGAGTGTGCCTCACAGTAACCATGTGATGTGATTGGTCCACACAATGTAGCAGGGTGGGTGTGCCTCACAGTAACGATGTGATGTGATTGGTTCACACAACGTAGCAGGGTGGGTGAGCCTTACAGTAACAATGTGATTGGTTCACAAAATGTAGCAGGGTGGGTGTGCTTCACAGTAACAATGTGATGTGATTGGTCCACAGAATGTAGCAGGGTGGGTGTGCTTCACAGTAACAATGTGATGTGATTGGTCCACAGGCACGTGGAGGAGGCAATGGGTGGGCAGTATCTGCACAGTGGCTTCTCTCTGCCCTGCCCTCCTGGGCTGGACATCCCCCCAGAAGTGGTGAGCCCCCTCACCTCCAACAGCTTGAAGGTGAGTCTGAGAGTCCTGTGGGTGACATCTGCCTGAGCTTTTGTTCTGTCTTCTCTCTTCGAGCGTATTGACACCGGGCTTGGTTCACATGGTCTAAAATCCAATGAACTTGGCTCATTTGTGAGCCATTTACAATAGACACGTTGTAGTGTGCAGTCTTGTAAGGTATTGTGATCCACTAGGAGGACAAGTCTTCTCCAGTCTTGTAAGTCATTGTGATCCACCAGGAGAACAAGTCTTCTCCAGTCTTGTAAGACGGTGTGATCCACTAGGAGGACAAGTCTGCCAGGATTGCAAGATGCGCCTGAGAAAAATGGTTTGATAAGTGTACACATCCCTTAATAATACTAATCATAAATTAGCCCCCTGACCATCCCCTTGCGTTTGGTCTCCTTGGGTACTGTTGTTGTAATGCTTGGGGTAACTTTTATCCGGCGTGGGTACCATCTCATCCGTTGATCACGTTCAGGTGGATAAAGAGAGCCGTACCCAGGCTATGAGCCAGATGGGCTGAGACCACATCTTTAGGGTGGGCCCTGTGTGGTTCGTTTGCACAGTGACCAGAGCGAGGGCAGGGCTCCAAGTGCAGGATACAGCCCTTGCGTGACGGGCGGCTTGTTTGTTTGGGTGCACCAGGAACACTGCGTACTAGAGGCTGACCGATTCTTCTCTCTGTCTCCCTGCAGTCTCTGCTCCTCCTGGGCTGTTTTGCCCTGTTCTGGTCTCTGTACTACACCCTGGAGGTCAGCCTGGCTCACCTGGAATGGCCCAGGCCGTGCTGGGGCAGGAAGCGGGGCAGGGGGAGCGTGGAGGAGGGCGAGGGCGGCGGGCGGGTCCCCCTGCACACTCTGGGCCTGACCCCCGCGAGCCGCCCCACTCTGCAGCTGGAAGAGGAGATGGAGGAGAAGGAGGAAGAGGAGAAAGCCCCGCTCATCGCTCAGGACACCCTTACGTAGCGCCCCCTGCCCCTCTCCTGCCCCTCCTTCTTGAAGCAAGGGGGTTGTAGGGCTTGAGGGGCAGCCTAGGCAGTGGACGGGTCACGGAGAGAGACAGACTGGGGGACATGGCATGACACCCCTGAACACTCACTCGCAGGCCCGCGCAGGGAAGGGGAGACCGCAGCAGCCCTGGAGCCTGGAGCTGCAAGAGGGACTCTCCTGGCGGGACCACCTGGATCCGAAAGCTGCCCCTTCCTGCAGGACGCGAACCCTCCCAGCCCCCCTCCCAGCATTCTCGGATCAGAACCCCCCTCCTGGGCGGGCCGGCTCCCGCCCGCCTCGCTGCGGAGCCTGTCCGAGGGGGGCGTGGGGGGGCTCCGCCGGCTTCCCCCGGTGTTTCTGGCTCGGGGGGTTAAAGGGTTTATGTGCAGCGTGGCAGAGGCGGGCTCTGCTGGAGGATGGAGAGTGAGTGAGACACTGAGGGGCTTCCTACGGAGCTCAGAAACACACACACAGACTCACACACAAACTCACACACACACCTCCCCCCTGTTTCACCCCATTTGACAGATCTCTTCCCCAGGAAGATGGAAAACCATGAGGTGTTACCAGCTCGAAAGGTGTTGTTGCGCCTTTCCGGTGCGTTTGCACCATTTCACAAGTAAAACACCCTCATGGAGCCAAACCACGACTCCCCCCCCACTTGTATTTTTATAAATACATGTAAGTGGCCTGGGTTTGGAGTAAAAGACAAAAAAGATACATATTGCACTGTGAACAAAGATTTCCAGAAAGCGAACTGGAGGCGCGCTCCGAGAAACGGCGCTCTCGCGTGGCGGCCCGCTGGGCAGTGTTGTGTCCAGTCCGCAGGCCGGGACTCGTCCCTCGGCGCCGCCCTGCATCCGCCTCTCCTCGACACCGCACCTCGATGGGGAAGAACTGGGACTGGCTGGCGATGGGGCCGAGTTGGACCACGAGGGGGAGGAGAACGCGATTCCTCTGAAAGCCTGCCCTCGCTTCATCAGACAGGCGGTCTGGCTGTCCCCGGCTGTGATTCTGTGTGCGTGTGAGAGATGGGGGGGTGTCTTTGAATGCATGGCCGTGAGTGTGTGTGCACACAAAAGGAGTCTGTTTAATATTCATATCCAGTACAAATATTCCAGCTTCCGGATTGTTTTTAAGAGATATTTTTGGGGGGGGTATTTTCTTTCCGAACCCTTGTTCATTTGGACGCTAAGGTGGAAGGAGAGTGCAATGTGTGCAAACCTAAAAGAGAGCATGTACTGCAGTTTTTTTAAATACTGGATTTTTTTTTTAAATAAGCATAAGATTTGTGGCGGGTGTATATCTAGAAGTGAACGTAGGCAGCAAATGGATGCATGCATATATATTTATATGCTCAGATGCATTCATTCGTGTGCCGATGGATTGGAACACCTTCAGCTCTCGAGCTGTAAGAACAGGACTGCATTGCATTCGTGCAGGTATTGCTCATGTTTTGCACACTCACTTTCTGTGACACCGGATTTCTCTGCAATAGCTGTGCAATCTCTTCTGGTTTTGTGCAATAAGGCCCCTTTGCTTTCGCCCCAGTCAGAGCTGTGCAGTGTAATGATCACAATCCTCTCGCAGAAGGTCCCTATCTGTTGCTCTTCTGTAAATTTCACTTCTAACACACTGCTGCTGTCAGTAATATACGGTATACAGTACATTTTATTCTCAAGGTTTTTCGGGAGTTTCGGGTGTAGTGTTTTCATTTCGGAAGCACGTGGAAATGTACAGGAGCAATGAGGTGTTGTGATCATTTGTCACACTGCTGTGTGTGTGTGTACAGTATGTGTCTGGATATATACACAGCCATAACCTGCTTTCTCAAAATCTGGCTCTGAGGTTATTACTCTAGATTCTTTTGGGTTATAGGAAATTAGTGCTCATGAATATCCTCCCTGTGTTGGAACCTCAAAGTATATATTACATGTAAATGCTTTGGTTGTGCTGGTGTCTTTTAAAACCTTTTGCTCGAAATAATCAGATGGTTGTCATTGAGAATCGACCTTGCACAATCTGGTTTTGCTAAACCGGGTGTTTTCACAACCAAAACTGTGACTGTTTTATTTGTTAAAGTCAAGCGCCACCTCAGGGGTGCTCAAAGCGAGAGTCTGCTTTTGTATTGGGTCCTGCGGCTGATCTGATCTGGATTAAATAAAGGCTGTTTTTTCAGGATCGATGACAACGTGCAATTAAAACCGAGAGGAGGAGGCAGTGCTTTACCCAAAGGATTGTAGGAGTGTGGAACAAGCTGAACTCAAGCCGAATACCCTGGATGGCTCAGGTACCCCAGCTAGTATAGCTTGTCTGGGAACTTTGGGTTCTTACTGTAGATGCTCTTGGATTGTGTGAGAGCTGCCACTGTCTGACAGAGATCGCTAACCCCACTCTCCTATCTGGGACCGCGTTCCAGCCTCCTGTTTAACTGGTCAGTGGTTTGGAAAGGCAGATCGTCTAAGAGGTATTTCGTGGGTGTCCACAAATCTGCCGAGATGACCTTCTGGATGCGGACACATCAGCAGAGGGGCTCCTGAACCCCTTAGCCAGTGTAGTACTCACCCGGAGCACAGGCCGTGATCGATGATCCAGTCATTAGTGGGTCAAGTCAGGGTCGTCTTGTTAAATGCCTCTGACTGAGCAAAGGCTCAGATTTGTGTGAATACCACCAGGGTAGGGGAGAGGTTACTTGGTAGGGCTTTCTAACATCCAGTGACTTCCTGGGTGCGAGACCAACTCCAGTCTAGGTGTGGAGCTTTTAACAAGCTTGTTGATGAATGGCCAGTGGGTAAATGCAGGTGTGCTTGCCACTGGAGCTCAAGTCTGTGTCTCGGTCTGTCCTGAATGGTTATCAGGGAGTATTAGTGTTAAATGGTGATTTCATCCATCTCCTTTCTAACCACTTAATCCAGTACAGGGTCGGGTTGGGGGGGGGCAGAGTCCCCCAGCAATCCCAGCAAGCAGTGGGCACCAGGTAGGATACTTCTTGGATGGGATGCCAGTCCATCACAGGACAGAGAGACGCAGACCCACACTCGCACCGGGGCCAAATAAACTACCAGCTTGTTTTTAGACTGGGGGAAGAAACCCCCATGAATTTGGCGTGAACATGCAATCTCCACACAGCCGGCCCCCCGGGTCTGATATTGAACCCAGGGCCTCAGTGCTGCAAGGCAGGAATGCTGACCACTGTGCCACGCTCCTCGTCAGTTTCCAATTCAAAAAAGAATAATAGACACAACGCACGCACTCAACCACAGAGATCACAACCAAAGACTTGCAGAAAAGCCACTTAAAACAACTCTGGATTTTTTATTATTTCAAAATCATTTCATAAATGTACAAAAACACGCCGAGGGTTATAAAACGAATCCCGAAGGAAGAGCTGTGAACTACGAGTTATTTCTCAGTCAGGAACTGATCGCTGCTGGTGGTGAAGCTCCGCGGCGTGTCTTTGGGTCCAGGGTCCAGCAGACTTTCTCAGCATCTCTGCTGTAGCCTCGGTGCACACATTTGTCAGCTAAATCTGTCTCAGCAGAACATGCACACGGAGGTGTTGCTAATCCTCGCATTGTGTGAAAATCTGGAGTCAATTTAATTCCCAACTGGATGTGAAAAACATTTGAAGAGTGCAAAAGATCATCTGGCTGTGTGTGCGTGGTTGACCCTGTCTGTGTGTGGCCTTTGGGCATCTCTTTGGATTTTTTTTTGTCAAGGTTAAGTTTGGTTGCAGTTGAGTTGGTGTGATATTATGATCATTGTGTACTTTGGTCACTGGTGTGGTTTGGTCATCGTATGTGTGGGTCAGAACTGCGGGCTCACTGTGTGGCCTGGGTAGGAGACCCTGTAAGATTGTAGAGGGTGTGGGGGTGTGTCCCAGCCTCAGTGATCGTCTGTGTAGCCTGGGTAGGAGACCCTGTAAGACTGTACAGAGTATGGGGTCGGGTCAATCCTCAGTGATCTGCTGTGTGGCCTGGGTAGGAGACCCTGTAAGA